TTTTTAATTTAATCTTGCAACGTGAGTGCTGCTGGAATGCCTGTTGCCTGTTTTTGTATTCATGCAATGTAAGCATCTTTGTCAAGGCCAACCTTTGATGCCGGTGCCTAATTGTCCTTGAATTGATTGGCTCTCTTGGCTGTTTTAGAGAGAAGTTAAAATTCAACCACATTGCTGCGGGTCTTTTTTAAAATTCATTTACGGGATGAGGGCATCACTGACTAGGCCATCATTTATTGCCCATCCCTAATTGCCCAGAGGGCAGTTAAGAGTCAACCACATTGCTGTGGGTCTGGTGTCACAGGTAGGCCAGACCATGTAAGAATGGCAGTTTCCTTCCCTAAAGGACATTGGTGAACCAGGTGTGTTTTTCCCAGCAATTGACAGTGGATTCATGGTCATCATTAGATTCTTAATTCCAGATATTTATTTAATTCAAATTCTATCACCTGCCATGGCAGGATTTGAACCTGGCCCCCCAGAATGTTATCTGGGGCTCTGGAATAATAGTCCAGCGATCATACCACTAAGCCATTGCCTCTCCCATTTTTGGAGTCATGTATGGGCCAGACCTGGGAATGATGGCAGTTTTCTTTCCCTAAGGGACATTAGTGAACCAGATAGGTTTTTACACCATCACTAGCGGGCTAGTTTTTAATTCCAGATTTTCACTAATTTCATCATCTGCCATGGGTAGCTTTGAACTCCTGTCCCCCGAAGGTTTGCCTGGATTTGTTTTGGATTAGTGGTCCATTGAGTTCAGTCTGTGTGCTGTAGGTACACCCAGAGTCCTGTGATGGAGAGACACCAGGATTTGGAACCAACAAAGTAGAAGGAACAATGAGGGACCCAAGTTGGGATGGTGTCTGCTGGGGAGAAACTTGCAGCTGGTGGTGTCCCCATGTCCTTGGAGTTGGTTGTGGTCGCTAGTTTGTTGGTTGTGGAAGCTGCAGTGAGGGGAAGCTTTGTGTATTTCTGCAGTGTACTTTGTAGATGGCATACCCAGTTGCCATGGAATACCAATAGTAGTGTGTGAGCGTGTTCAAGTTGGTGCCAATCAGTTTGTTCTGGATGGTGTGGAGCTCCTTCCTGTGCCCAGTGCACTCAGCTGTTTCTTGAGATCATGTGGAGTGAATGTAATTGGCTGAAGACTGGAATCAGTGAATCTGGTGACCTCAGGAGCAGACCGAGATGGACCATTCACTCGAAACCTCAGGCTGTAGGTGGTTATGAATCTTTAACCCTGTTCCCTGCACTGGCGTGCTGGGCTCACCCATCATTGAGGTTTGGGTCGAGGTGTGGAGACTCCTTCTCAAATTGGTTGTTAAATTCCCCACCACCATTCATGACTGAATGTGACAGCAGTGCAGAATGTTGATTTAATCTGTTGGTCATGTGAGTACTTATCCCTGTCTTTCAGAGGCTGATTCCAATGTTTCGACAGTTTGTGACCTCCTCACCAACACTCCTCCCCAACTCATGGTTAATCCCCTTGAAAAGGTGGTTCAACATGGCGGAACAACGAATGATCCGCTGAGGGAAGGTGGTTCCCAGCAGGTCATCTCCTTGTTCATCCTTGACCTGATCTCATGAGACCTCATGGGGGCCAGAAGTCAGTGGGAGGAATTTTAACCGAAGACAAAAGCAGAAAATTTTGACTCAGGTCGGGGTTAGATTCTGAGAAACCTGTTTCCTGATCAGAAACCTTCATTCTACCCATTCTGGGCTCGAAGTGCATTTGGAAAGGTGGGCAGAAACAAACCTGCCCCAAGGAGGGCAACTGGAATTTGAAATATGATTCCCTCCCTAATGGCATTGTGGGCCAACCTATAGCATGTGGCTGCAGCGGTTCAAGAAAGCAGCTCACCATCACCTTCTGAAGGGCAACTAGGGACAGGCAATAAATGCTGGGCCAACTAGAGTTGCCAATGTCCCACATGTGAATGAAAAGAAAAGATTTTCCAGATAAATTGAGCAAATGTATTCATGTCAGGCTTCACTCTCAAGGACAGAAGTAGCATACCTGAAATGATTGTGAATCAAGTGAAAGGTAGAGGGGAACTTAAAACAGTTCTAATCACACAGGAGAGGACACTGAGAAAATCATTAGAACTAAAACCGATAAGTGCCCAGGTCTAGATGAACATCCTAGATAACAAAGTGTAGAGCTGGATGAACACAGCAGGCCAAGCAGCATCAGAGGAGCAGGAAGGCTGACGTTTCGGGCCTAGACCCTTCTTCAGAAATGGGGGAGGGGAAGGGGGTTCTGAAATAAATAGGGAGAGAGGGGGAGGCGGATAGAAGATGGATAGAGGAGAAGATAGGTGGAGAGGAGACAGACAGGTCAAAGAGGCGGGGATGGAGCCAGTAAAGGTGAGTGTAGGTGGGGAGGTAGGGAGGAGATAGGTCAGTCCAGGGAGGACGGACAGGTCAAGGGGGCGGGATGAG